ATTTTACCCCTGGGGTTTTGTAAAGGTTAAAGGGAACACCAAAAACCCAAATTATTTGGGGGGGTTTTGTTTCAATATTTTTTGGCAATTTTTGTGGTGTTTGTATTTTAATATAAAAGGAAGAGAAAGGAGAGAGAGAGAGAAAAGTTCAAAGGATTGCTGCACATAAAAAAATTTTTTCCATCGTAAAAAAAATTTACAAAATATATCGGAAGTTTTTCCCAATAATGTTTAATATTTTGGGGGTTTAGTTGTGGTTATAAAATTAAGTGCTCTTTTTTTTGCGTAAAATGTTTTTAACCCTTTTTTTTGTCCCTGACATGCCTTGTGATATGGTTTTTTTATCAATAATGAAAAAAAGATTAAAAGAGGGCAGCGGGTTCCAAAATATTCTTTACCAAAATTTTTTTGGGGCTAGTTTTAATTTCTTTTTTCTGACCTGGGGGAAGGGGGGGGACCCTTTACTGTTAAACTTTTTATTATTGGGGAAATTACGCCCTGATATATTTTGAAATTTTTTTGCCATAGAATAAATTTTTTTTGGGCAGAAAACCTTTAAACTTTTCTTCATGTATGAAAACCTGTGAGATGGTCTGATTGCATTCCCACATTTGGGATTGCTGAGTGCTTTTTCACCTCTCTGTTTTTGGGGGGGGGTGTGTGTGGTGTGTGGGGTGTGTGTGTGTGTGTGTGCCCTGTGGGGGTTTTGTGGTCTGTAGAAGCAGTCTGCATCCCTAGGTGCTTGATATAATATTTCTTTTATCTAACCAGGTTTTACCAATTTTGACAGCCGGGTATATAATGTAGGGGGAAAACACTATTCCCAAATTTGAAACTATTTTTTAAGACAGTAAATTTATAGATCATTTTGGTATAAAACTCAGGAACCAATTTGCCCTTAAAATTTCCCTAGGGGACTTTTTTCAATAGGAAAAATTTAGTGTCAAATGGGTCTTAAACGGCTTAAGCATGGTGCATAGACATGAGATTTGAATAGACGTTTCGGGTTACCAGTTTGTGATTTTGGGGGAAAAATTAGGGTGTCACGGGTTTCCCCTTACTACTCCACCATTCCCCTTTTTTTTAAAAAATTTGTCAGCCCCCTCTATTATCACAGTTCCCTTTCGCCACTGTTTTGGTTTACAAAATTTATATAGCATTTGCCCTTTATTTACATCCAAAATCATTTTTTTTTCAGGCTTTTTTATATAAATCTATTATTTTGCTTTTTAAATTAGTAGTGCAATAAAAAAAATTGGGGCAATCGGGGAAAAGTTTTGAATCCTTTTTTAACAATATCCTTGTAAAACCTCATCATCAAGAAAAAATTTTTTTAAATCGTACATTTAAAACTTTTTTTTTTTTAAGATTACTTTTTAAGATACAGAAAATGAGCGAATTATTCAAAAATTCGGTTCGGCTGATTCGCCGAATTCGCGGAATAAAAATTCGCTTCGAGCCGAATATATTCGCTGCGAATTTAACTTATAAAAAGGGTGTTTCTAGGCTTCAGAGAGCCTTTATATTAGTGCAGAACACTGTACCTTTAATTTAAATGCCCTTGGAGTCTGCTGGGGAAGAGAAATAATACTGTCAGTCAGTATGACATGCAGATGAGTGCCGTCGATCTTTAGAATCACCGCACACTTCACTCATTTGGGCAGTCACGGGGCCAAAACCAGAGTGTGGAGCCACAGTGTGGCGGTGGAGGCAGCAGCAATGGGAGGCCATACAGCACCCTATGACAAAAATGGAACCCACCAGCAGCAGTGTGAGGAGACCTGAAAGTGGCACATGGCAGAGTGTGGGCGATGGAGACAGCAGCAATGGGAGGCCGTACAGGGACCCATGACACACTCTGGACCTGGCAGCAGCATGAGGAGGCGGTTACAGGGGCCCATGACAGATTACGGGCCTGGCAGCAGCATGAGGAGTCGGTACGGGGGGCCCATGGCAGATTACGGGCCTGGCAGCAGCATGAGGAGGCGGGTACAGGGGCCCATGGCAGAGTGGCGGAGCGTAAGCAGCTAAAATTGAAGGCCATACAGAGGCCTATGTTAAAAAGTCCCCCAGCAGCAGCGTGGGGAGACGACTATCAAGAGTCCAATGGCAGAGTGGCGGAGCAGAAGCAGCTTCAATTGAAGGCCATACACAGGCCTAGGTTTAAAAGTCCCTCACAGTTAATTCCAATAACGAACTCTACTCCTCCGTGCAATCTACTTACGAGACCCTGGGCAGGTCTGGGTCCAATTTGTGGTAGAGACTGGTTTTGTTCAGCCATGCTTGAGCGAGTAATAACAGGTCTGTGCTGCCCTTTGGGTGTCTGGCTTAATGCGCACAACACTGAACGTCCCAGCGTTTGTCAACGATTTGCCGTTAAGTGATGCAAACCCGCTGAACCACGTTCATGAGGAGCCGGTACAGGGGGCCATGAATCAGTATGGACCTGGCAGCAGCGTGAGCAGACGACAGAGGCACATGGCGCAGGGTGGCGGTGTAGGCAGCATTATTCTGAAGCCATACACAGGCCTAGGTTAAAAAGCGGAAAAGCCGTCAGCAGCGTGAGCAGACGACAGAGACACATGGCGCAGGGTGGCGGTGGATGCAGCAGTATTCGGAAGCCAAACACAGGCCTCGGTTAAAAAGCGGAAGCCGTCAGCAGCGTGAGCAGACGACAGAGGCACATGGCGCAGGGTGGCGGTGGAGGCAGCAGCAATGGAAGGCCATACAGCACCCTATCACAAAATGGAACCCACCAACAGTGTAAGGAGACCTGAAAGTGGCACATGGCAGAGTCTGGCGATGAAGTCAGCAGCAATGGGAGGCCGTACAGGGACCCATGACACACTCTGGACCTGGCAGCAGCAAGAGGAGGCGGGGGTACAGGGGCCCATGGCAGAGTGGCGAAGCGTAAGCAGCTTAAATTGAAGGCCATACAGAGGCCTATGTTAAAAAGTCCCCCCAGCAGCAGTGTGGGGAGACGACTATCAAGAGTCCAATGGCAGAGTGGCGGAGCAGAAGCAGCTTCAATTGAAGGCCATACACAGGCCTAGGTTAAAAAAGTCCCCCCAGCAGCAGCGTGGGGAGACGACTATCAAGAGTCCAAATGGCAGAGTGGCGGAGCGGAAGCAGCTTCAATTGAAGGCCATACACAGGCCTAGGTTAAAAAGTCCCCCCCAGCAGCAGCGTGGGGAGGACGACTATCAAGAGTCCAATGGCAGAGTGGCGGAGCGGAAGCAGCTTCAATGAAGGCCATACACAGGCCTAGGTTAAAAAGTCCCCCCAGCAGCATCCGACTATCAAGAGAGACCAATGGCTGAGTGGCGATCCGGGAAGTCAGCGTTGTGATTGCAGATGCAATGCAGAGATTCTATGAGGTGATGCCGTGGGTGCGAAGAAGATCATTATACCGTCGTACTTCCATCCATAAGACGGAAACAACCTGCGAACCGGGAGCTTTTATTGCCCTGACCCGCTGAGCAGCTTCTGGGATACCCAAGAGGCCCATGGCAGAGTGGCGGAGCGTAAGCAGCTTCAATAAAAGGCCATACAGAGGCCTATGTTAAAAAAGTCCCCCCAGCAGCAGCGTGGGGAGACGACTATCAAGAGTCCAATGGCAGAGTGGCGGAGCGGAGCAGCTTCAATTGAAGGCCATACACAGGCCTAGGTTAAAAAGTCCCCCCAGCAGCAGTGTGGGGAGACGACTATCAAGAGTCCAATGGCTGAGTGGCGATCCGGGAAGTCAGCGTTGTGATTGCAGATGCAATGCAGAGATTCTATGAGGTGATGCCGTGGGTGCGAAGAAGATCATATACCGTCGTACTTCCATCCATAAGACGGAACAACCTGCGAACCGGGAGCTTTATTGCCCTGACCCGCTGAGCAGCTTCTGGGATACCCAAGAGGCCCATGGCAGAGTGGCGGAGCGTAAGCAGCTTCAATTAAAGGCCATACAGAGGCCTATGTTAAAAAAGTCCCCCCAGCAGCAGCGTGGGGAGACGACTATCAAGAGTCCAATGGCAGAGTGGCGGAGCGGAAGCAGCTTCAATTGAAGGCCATACACAGGCCTAGGTTAAAAAGTCCCCCCAGCAGCAGTGTGGGGAGACGACGATATCAAGAGTCCAATGGCTGAGTGGCGATCCGGGAAGTCAGCGTTGTGATTGCAGATGCAATGCAGAGATTTTATGAGGTGATGCCGTGGGTGCGAAGAAGATCATATACCGTCGTACTTCCATCCATAAGACGGAACAACCTGCGAACCGGGAGCTTTATTGCCCTGACCCGCTGAGCAGCTTCTGGGATACCCAAGAGTTTGGCTTCTGTGGGGAATATGGTTGAAAACTGAAACTTAAAGGCATGTTGACGGAAGGGCACCAGTGTCAGTGCTCCGGAGGGAATATAGCTTCAAAGCTGACACTTAAAGGTATATCGACGGTCAGAGACCACAGGAAGTGGAGCTTGCGTCTTAAATCGACTGAATGTGGCAGACGTGAAACGTCTACGGCCGTATATGAAACGGGTTGTTCCTCTTTCTGGAATAAGTGTTGGAAATGGCCACTCTTTTTGGTGTGGCGTTTTGTCTATTTAATTCCGATAACGGACTCTACTCCTCCGTGCAATCTAGTTACGAGACCCTGGGCAGGTCTGGGTCCAATTTGTGGTAGAGACTGGTTTTGTTCAGCCATGCTTGAGCGAGTAATAACAGGTCTGTGCTGCCCTTTGGTGTCTGGCTTAATGCGCACAACACTGAACGTCCCAGCATTTGTCAACGATTTGCCGTTAAGTGATGCAAACCCGCTGAACCACGTTCATGAGGAGCCGGTACAGGGGGCCATGAATCAGTATGGACCTGGCAGCAGTGTGAGGTGAGGAGACCCGAAAGTGGGCACATGGCGCAGGGTGGCGGTGGAGGCAGCAGTATTCGGAAGACATACACAGGACTAGTTTAAAAAGCGGAAGCCGTCAGCAGCGTGAGCAGACGACAGAGGCACATGGCGCAGGGTGGCGGTGGAGGCAGCAGTATTCGGAAGCCATACACAGGCCTAGGTTAAAAAGCGGAAGCCGTCAGCAGCGTGAGCAGACGACAGAGGCACATGGCGCAGGGTGGCGGTGGAGGCAGCAGTATTCGGAAGCCATACACAGGCCTAGGTTTAAAAACTGGAACCCAGCAGCGTGAGCAGACGACAAAGACGCACATGGCAGAGGATGGATCTGGCAGCAGTATGAGAAGGCGCGGTACAGGGGCCCGTGGCACAGTGTGGTGATGGGGGCTACAGCAACTGGATGCCAGAAAGTGGCCGATAGGGCTATATACTGCATGGAATTATAAAGTTGTAAAGACAGCGGCCTATAAGGCTATACACACTATAACAATCATGACTTGATTGACCATTGGCCTATAAGGCTATACACAGCATGAATACATGACTTATTCTGAGAGTGGTTTGGAAGGCTATATACAAAAAGTAATTCATGAGCTGTCCGGACAGCGGACAATAAGTACATATATACAAATCAATTCATCAGCTGTCCAGCCAGCGGCCTCAAAGGCGACACATATAGAAAGCAATTCATGAGCTGTTTCAGACAGCGGCCTCTAAGGCGACAGATATACAAAGCAATTCCCGAGGTGTTCAGGGAGCGGCCTGAACGGCTAGGTTATTACTAAATATATTTTTGTGGCCAAACATCGGCCTATAAATAGATGTCTACACAGTGACAAAAAATTATGTCGCCAGACAGCGGCCCCTAAGGCGACAGATATACAAAGCAATTCCCGCGAGCGCACAGGGCCCACAGTGTCTGAGGATGGACGTTGGCGCAGAAAGGCAGAGACCAACTGACTACATAGGTGGTTTTTATAGTACTTTATTTTGGCCTCCCTCTCAGCAGGTGTGTGAAAAAGGCCACCATTTTTGAACGGTAGCGAGGGTCCAACAAGGTGGACAGCCAAAAGTCATCCCTCTGTCTGATGGTTATTATTCGGCTGTCGCTACGCAAGCAACCGAGCATGCTATGGGCCATTTGTGCCAAGGAATGCGAGGGGACTCCCTGCCTCCATCTCCACAGCATACTGCCACGGTGCGTCTGGGTCCTCTGTCTCCTCCTCCTCCTCTACCAGATGCTCCTGCTCCTCCACTCCTGTCCGCTGAGTGGAAAAACCACCCATTTCACTCAATAATTCCTGAGCACCAATGTCCTCCTCTACCTCCTCCTCTTCTTCCTGTCCTGCCCCCACAGGGGTCATGTGGCGTTGAGATCTGTGCGCCACGTCTACCGCACCCTGACCAGCCATTGTTAACAGCATTTGTTCCAGGACGTGCAACAGAGGAATGACGTCGTTCATCCCATAGTCCTGCCGACTCACGAATAGCGTGGCCTCCTCAAAGGGCCTGAGCAAGCGGCAGGTGTCACGCATGAGCTGCCAATGGCTGACATCTAAGTTACACAGGGGAGTACCTTTATCCGCTTGTAACATCAGGAAATCGGTGATGGCCTTTCGCTGTTCGTAAAGGCGGTCTAACATATGTAGGGTTGAATTCCACCTTGTTGCAACGTCGCAGATCAGGCGATGCTGTGGAATTCCGTTCTGCCGCTGCAGCTCAAGGAGGGTGTGCTTTGCGGTGTAGGAATGGCTGAAATGCATGCAAAGTTTACGTGACATTTTAAGGATGTCTTGCAGTGGGATGGTGGATTTTAGGAACCGCTTGACAACCAGATTGAACACGTGAGCCATGCATGGCGCATGGCACAACCTTCCTTGACGCAGAGCAGACACCATGTTCTTTCCGTTGTCGGTCAACATGGTTCCGATTTTCAGTTTGCGCGGAGACAGCCATCTGTCGATTTCTCTGTTCATTACACTCAGAAGTTCCTCCCCTGTGTGACTACGTTCGCCAAGGCATACCAGGTGCAGCACAGCGTGACACCGTTGCGCCCTGCACATGTGATATGCCGGGTCGGGTAATGGGACTTGGCACGGGGGTGGCGGCTGAGGGACACGGCGGGACACGGGGAAGAAGAAGAGGTGGTAGAGGCGGACATCTTTGCTGGACCAAGGACGTGCAAACGTGGAGGCAAAAGCGGCGTGACCTGTCCAAGTTGCTGGTGCGGCTGTGCCGGCACCACGTTCACCCAGTGGGCCGTAAATGACATGTACTGTCCCTGACCGTAGTTACAGCTCCACACGTCGGCGCTGCCGTGCACTTTGGCAGAGACCGACATGCTCAAAGACTGGCCCACCATCTCTTCTACATGTGAATGCAGGGCTGGCACTGCCTTTTTGGCGAAGAAATGCCGGCTTGGCACTCTCCACCGCGGCTCGGCACAAGCCATCATTTCTCGGAAAGGTGCTGAGTCCACCACTTGGAAAGGGAGGGACTGCAGCACCAGCAACTTGGACAGGAGGACGTTCAGCTTCTGCACCGTCGGGTGCGTGCTCGCAAACTGTTGTCTCTTGGAAAACGGATTCCAAGAAAGACTGCTGACGGAATCCGTGAAGAGGAGTAGCAGGAGAAGGAGCATCTGAACGAGCGGAAGATGCCAACGAGCGACAACTCCCCTCAGCAGAGGTGTTGGAGCCTTGACTGGCTGATAGAGGGCGATTGACGTCGGGTGACGGAGCAAGTAACGGAGCGGGTGATGGAGCGGGGGCTGGGGCAGGCAGAACCGCCGTATCTTTATCACGGTTTTCCCAGGCCACCGAATGGCGACGCTGCATATGCTGACGCAACGCTGTAGTCCCAACATTGGCCCCCTGGCCACGCTTGACTTTCTGGCCACATAGTCGACATACGGCTACGTTTACTTCCTCGGGCGGCTTGACGAAAAATTGCCACACCGCCGAGTAGGAAACTTTGCCCCCGCTACTCCTCACTGGCTGACTGCTACTTCCTCCGTGCACACCGGCACCACTACTGGCCGTGGTGGTAGGCTGCAGTGGAGCTGGTGCTCTACTCCGTGGCCGTTTGGCTCCACTGACACTGCTGCGACCCTGCTGCCTCCTGGGGCAACCCACCGACTGTTTTGCTCGCTGGCAAGCTGGCACCCTCTTCTCCTGATGATGCGGAAGCAATAGCCTGATGACGACGAGGCTGCCAAGTGCGATCAGCCTCATCATCATCAATTAGGGTCTCCGCGTCACTACTAGCCCCCTCGGCTGCGTGTGGGTCAGGAGACAGACCTGTCTCTAGACCGGCTACCGAGCCACTCTCCTCGCCAGTACTTCTTCGCCTGGCTGCTGAAGAGGCGGATGTCTCCCCCCGTTCCTGACCGCCCTCTGTTAGCTCTTCCTCACTGTACAGTGGGGCTGAGCCCACAGCATGCGATACTTCGCTTGGTGAGGGAACACCAAAGGACAGGGGCAGGTCGAGGACACGTGATTTCAGTGGGCTTGCTCCCGGGCCATGCCAACTAACGGTTGTGTCTGACGTACCCACCGACCGTTGGCTGTAGGTGTCAGAGGTGACCTGGGAAGAGGAAGACGACCGAGTCAACCAATCGATGACGGCAGGGTTGTTTTCAATATTCCCTCTACCACCCCCCCAAACAGTGCAACAACATAAATCAACAAATGTCCACATATGAGTCCATATATAGTGTTTATAATAAATAGTGTTTTCCAACGTTGGAGAATCCTTCACTTTTGTTGTTATTCAATTCCAGGAACCTCTAAATAAGGATACCTCAAAAAAATAAACTTAATATAGTGCATTATCTTTAAACAAAAACAAAACAAAAACAAAAACACTCGTGAGAAACCACAACGTGAGAAACTACAAGTGATTCCTCCTACATTCCCCTCAGTGACAAATCAGCATTCCCAAAAAAAACAACAAGTGGTGAAGTGCAACACTCCACAAATAGTGTCACCATCCAAAGGTACTAAATGCCATTACCCTCTTATAAAGAACCACACACATCCAAAATAAAATAGTGCTCCTCTCTGTGTGATTCAAAATACTATTACCCTCTTTCCAATGCAGATCAAGCAAAAAAAATTCCTTCAGGGCAATCCAGAATTTCTCCCTCCACCGGAAGCTTCCTATTGCTTCCAATTCACCTTCCCCGTTCCTCAAAGGGGCAGATAGTAGAAAGGCTCAGTGGAGTATATAAAAGGTATCACAATTTTATTATACATATCTTACCTAAAAGACGCCAACGTCCATCCTCTCCCACAGTCCGTAAGTCGAACTCCAGTCTTCAAGATGGCCGTGCCGCGCTCCTTCCGGTTTGAAATATAATGTAACGTCCTTACGTACCTGACGCGTTTCGTCACTTCCGACTTTTTGTGTGAAAAAGTCGGAAGTGACGAAACGCGTCAGGGACGTAAGGAACGTTACATTATATTTTACAAACCGGAAGGAGCGGCACGGCCATCTTGAAGACTGGAGTTCGACTTACGGACTGTGGGAGGGGATGGACGTTGGCGTCTTTTATGTAAGTATATGTATAATAAAATTGTGATACCTTTTATATACTCCACTGAGCCTTTCTACTATCTGCCCCTTTGAGGAACGGGGAAGGTGAATTGGAAGCAATAGGAAGCTTCCGGTGAGGGAGAAATTCTGGATTGCCCGGAAGGAATTTTTTTGCCTTGATCTGCATTGGAAGAGGGTAGTAATAGTATTTGAATCACAAAGAGAGGAGGCACTATTTTATTTGGATGTGTGTGGTTCTTTATAAGAGGTAATGGCATTTTAGTACCTTGGATGGTGACACTATTTGTGGAGTGTTGCACTTCACCACTTGTTGTTTTTTTTTGGGGAATGCTGATTTTCACTGAGGGGAATGTAGGAGGAATCACTTGTAGTTTCTCACGTGTGGTTTCTCCACGAGTGTTTTTGTTTTTGTTTTTTTTTGTTTAAAGGATAATGCACTATATTAATGTTT